GAGTGTAATTTTCTCAGTTGAGTTCGTAATGCTTTTGATCTGGCAACCACAAGACTAATTCCATGTTGAGGACACGGGGGGAACGTCTGGCAGTATCCTGAGTCAAAAAGTACCAAGTCCAAACACTCTCTACTGCAGTGTTGTCCATTAACACCCACGATGTGTCGGTTTCAGCAGAAGACCAGCATATTTTAAAGGAAGAAAGAGGTGAGACTGAACAGTTCAGCAGCCATCATCAAGCCTTTTTAAAAAAAACAAAACAAAAAAAAAACAACCCACACACACATGGCGGGGAACAGGCAGAGTGGGCGAGGTGCTCAAAGTAGCAGGTATTCAGCTACTGGTGCTCCATGCAGTGAGCCTCTTGTCCATCTTTCACCACCCTCACTCCGTCTATCTCCCTCTCAGTGCTGCTCCTCCTCTTCCTGGGCCGGGCCCTGCTCTGGTGTTTCTTCCTGAGCCTGGGGCTCGGCCTGGGCCTGTGGCTGTTCCTGAGGCGGCCTGGGAGGAGGCGCTGGGGCAGGTGGGCGAGGTGGCACTATGATTTGGTGTTGGCGCTGTCGGTAGGCGATGACTGTGCCTAGCAGTAGGGCGATGACCGTCATGAGGTAGAGATCCCACTCTGGGCCCAGCAGCTGGTCCAGATCCACCTGAGAAATCAACTCCTTCAACTGCGAGAAGCCGCAACCAACAAGGAGGAAAAAGAAACATCATTTTTCTTTCTAATGAAGAATCTCTGAAACTATCTGAAGTACAAGACGTGTTACTCAAAACCATACGGTTAGCATGACAGCTTGTGAATTCAGGAGGAAATACTCACATTAAGATCCTGCAGGTACTGGAGAGCATAAATCAGGCCCAGTTTGCACAGAGCTAGAAAAACTGGAACCTGGGCGTCAGGACTGGCCTCAGCAGCCATGTCATAAAACCGTTTGGCTAGGTGGATGTCCTGCAGCAAAAAAAAAAAAAAACATGGAAAATTTCAGAATTAGAAATCAAATTAACAACCACACAGACTTTGCTAAATGACAAAGCGCAAATTTGTGACATGTTGACAGCCAGGTGATGTTTAGTGAGTGCTCACCTGTTTGATACCCAGGCCTTTCTCATGCATGTAACCCAAGTTAAACATGGCCTGTGCGCTGTGCTGCTGCTCAGATGCCAACCTATAGTGAATGACAGCCGTCTCGTAGTCCACGTCCGTTCCGTAGCCATAGAAATGATAGTCTCCCAGTTTTATCCTTGCCACGGTGTAACCTTACAAGGACAATTACATGTGTAAGATTTGGTTTTATATGCAAACAGTCACGGCTAGAAATCTTCTGTGAACCAGCTTAGTGTTCACCACTCAGTATCTCACACTGATACACAAAGACAGGCTGAGCTCTATTATCATAAATTACGATGCATGTGACCCCAGAGAGAATCAGTGCGCCCTCAGCAGCTATGGCTGCTCAGGCATTAGCCTGTTCCACTGCACTTAGATAATATATAGCTATGGAGGATGCATGAGACACACTGGAGCTGTGATGCTCACTGTTGCCATGGCTTTTGTTATTAAGGCTGTTGGCTGTGACACGCTTGTTGATAATAAGTACAACACAAACTATGTGCAGTGGTGTGTGTGTGTGCTGTAAATTGAGCTGGTTGTGCTCATTGTAGTGAAATGTCTCCATTTCTGAAAGGATGTGGAGTTTTGGTACCACGTTGGTTACACCTGATAAAACCACAGCGGGGTCAAATTCTGTACAGCGCAATGAGACTTTCTTTGGTAACAGAACTGTGCTCAGCTAGCAGGAGTTAGACATCCACAGCAGCACAGATTCAACCACAAAAGGAGCCAAAGTTTGACTAATAACTGTTTCACACAGCACAGCACAGCCAAGCAGAGCAGCTGTGCTCACAGCCAGTGTCTACACAGCATCACAGTTCAATCAAGTGAAATGTGCAATAAGCAATACGTTCCCAAGCTAAACATCATGACGCATTTCCCTAAACTTGCAGTGCACTTTGACTCTACTGCTCCGGCGCACACACTGTTCACACTGACGAGGAGACGGAGCTTGTTCAAACTCACCTTGCGCTGCAGCTCTTGTCCAGTGGAGCAATGCACGAGGGTAGGTCTCATTCTCACTGAAGATCCTTGCCCCTTCTGTGTGGCATAATTCACACAAACACATGAAAAATTAAAACATTTAAAATGAGACCTGAATCTCTCTCTAACAAAGGTAAAGAGCGTAGCAGGATCATGACACTAGCATTTAAACATGGCTATAATATTGCAAGTGGTGCACATAAATTAACTGCTAAAAGCCTGCACTACCATGGTTAAATACTAATGTCTTGGTTTTTCTTACTCTGATCCAGAATGAAGGCCACGTTGCTCTGAGCCACCTCGTAGCCCTGCTCAGCCAGCAGCAGATACTGAACCAGCGCAGCGTCCATGTCACCCTCCTTAAAGCTACCGTACGCTGTCATCAGGCGCTCTGACCAGCGACCACGCTCACACACATTTTTGAAAAGCTGCAAACAGGACACACAGTGTGATACACATCTCCAATTTGTATTGAAAGTGCAGATAAAAGCCACTGCTGTTAATCGATAAATGTTTGAGGAGACACCAAGTTGGAGAGACAATCTCTTAACAGTGAAAGAAGCAGCAGATTTAGGGTGGACTAACCTCTACAGCGGTGTGGCAGGAACGCATCACACCAGTACCAGTAGCATGCATCTGGGCCAAGTTGTAGAAGGCCAGGATGTGCCCAGCCTGTGAGGCCAGGTTAAAGAATTTAAGAGCCTGCTTGTAGTCACGCTTCACGCCAATGCCATCTGGGGAACAAGAATAAGAACAAAAATGTTATTATGTGAAGAAGAGCGAAGACTGAGGACTCCTAAACAGACAGCGGGCGAGAGGAAAACTATGAAAGAATGCAGTGAGACACTGAAGGACACACTGAGCTGTAAAACTCACTGTAATACATGGTGCCCAGCTGGAGTTGTCCATCCACCCAGCCCTGCTCTGCTGCCTTCTGGAAGTATTTGAGGGCCAGCTCGTAGTTCTGGAGACAAACACACAACTTTTCAATAGCTGCTTCAGCAGGAGAGACACTCTGACAGCTTGCCATCAAAATAAAAGCCTGTTATATAAAACTGTTTTTCTTTGTTGTTTATATAAAACTTTATTTCAACTCCAAGTGCCTAAAAGTGAAGGTGAGATCTTATCTATATGTACAGATCCTATCAAAAGATATGAGACGCGCTTAAAAAAATATATAAATAAAATATCTTACCACTGGCACACCTCTACCATAAAGATAGGCCATCCCCAACCCACTCTGTCCCACCGGATTACCCTGGGAAAAAAAGTAAATGAATATGTAAAAACGATTACTGCATGTTAATATTTAAAGAAAGGGTAACAGAATTCAGCTGTGAGTGAGTGAGCAAGCTCAAAGTGAATAAATTACCCAGTTTAGTCTACAGCGTTATCCTTACCAGGTCAGAAGCCTTCTTGAAGTACTGCAAGGCAGTCTCATTATTCTGAGGGAGAAACTCACTGCCTTCTGAATACATCTGAGGAACAGACAGTCACAGACATAAAAGCTAAATTTTATACCTTAAACACAAATACACTGCCCTCTGTGAAAACATCAATGCCAAGCTGGTTTTATTCTAAAAAGTCTCTATAACCAAACTGTCTCTAAGGTCAACACAACATAGTGTTAAATAGATGGAAAATATGGCATTAAAAGCAAAAAAGAAAAAAAAAAAAAAAAAAACTGCTCTTATAAGAAATGAAATTAACAAGGTGATGAATGGAAAATTTTATAAAAAGAAAGAAAAGAAAGAAATATCTGTTTAAAAAAAGAAAAAAAAAAAGGTGACATAACAGTGAAGTGAGTGAGCCTCCATCTCACCCACCTTTCCAAGAAAAGCCATAGCATGTGTGTTGCCTGCATTGGCTGCCTGGTTGAAGTAGTCATACGCCCTCTGTTGGACAGAAAGCAGCATAAATGCATTTGACAGAGAAAACTCACAAAATAAGCAAAACAAATAAATAAAATACAGTGAGCGAAATCTATGACAAAGTTACCTGGTGATTCTGTTCTACTCCACGTCCTCCATGTAAGTGCAGCTGACCCAGGCCCACCTAAGTAAAACATTCAATTAGTAATCAAATAAAAACTACAACAAGGCTTCAGACTGATACTACCCAGCAATGACACATTATGTAGCCCTTTCACATTTAGACATTACATAACATGCATGCATAATCCAAGTCTGACCCAGACTTCAGTTCTTATACAATAAAGTAAATTAGTGCCATCCATTCAAGCTACTTCCTATTCCTGCCCACAAGAAAAAGCAAAAATGCCATATAAATAAAGAAATAATAATAATAAAAATGTGTGGACATGCAACTATATTGTGTAGTTTGTTAATTCCCCACAATCAGGAGCTTTCACAAAAGGCAGAACAGTGAAGCTGATCACAAATTCAAATGTTTTCTTTGCCACACACGTGTAACGAGAACGATTTCTAAACTGACACAAATAAACACATTACAAACATTTTGACTGTGTGTTCAATCAACCACTGGCTCAGGTATGTCAAAGGAAAGGTCACATTAGCTCCCAATACCAGCAATAAATTATTTTTTAAAAATCTGACCACTTTACCTGAGCTTGGACGTCCCCTTTCTCCGCTAGAAACTGGTAGTACTGGATGAGGTCTTCCTCCAACATCCCGCTGGTAGATCCCGGGTTCTCCACCTCATCGAGCAGTCTGATCCTCTGCACCGCTGAGCCTCCTGTCAGGGAAACATCGCTGGCCACTAAAGTTGGCAGAGGAAAGAGTGTTATTAGCCCAGCAAGAACTATTACTGCACTAGAATATAGTAACGCAAAACACTTACCCTGATTTGCTACAAGCCTATAATGCGTTAGTGCTGACTCACAGCTTTGGGGAACACCCACCCCTCCCCAGTACCTGTAGCCCTAATAAAACAATATAAGGAAGTGTAATTTTTATTAAAGTATACAAATAGCATGACTGTAGCATTTCTTCACTGACAGAAAAATCTGCTTACCAGAATCATGTGAGCGAGCAGGTTTCCACCCAGTGCACCAAAGGTGTAGTAAACCAAAGCCTGAAAAACAGAGAACATGGCAGAACATAAATAACTACTGACAAACCCATATACTGTAAGACAAATCTACAGAGCATAGACGTACCTTAGCTTGACTTGAGTTAACTCCGAGCCCTGCTGCATACAGAAATCCAAGAGCCTGAAGAAAAGTAAACAGAGCAGAGTGTCACAGAGTTGCTCCTCTCAGCACAAATAACCTGCAAACAGGCTTCCAACACTTTTCTCAAGAGACGTGTATAATTATGAGCGAGATCATTACCATCTGAGCTTTAGGTGAGCCCTCCATGGCAAGCTTCTCAAACATTTCTCTGGCCTTGGTAATATTTTGGTTCATGTAATCTCCAAACAGCATGGCATACGCCACCTTCTCCGTGGCTTTCTGGTGGCCTTTTTCTGCCACTTTTAGCAGCTTTTCATATAATCTGAGAAAGATAAGCAGAGTAGGCACAAGCGAAATTGAATCCACGTTCACATAAAAATAATGTGTACATGACAAACAGTAGTGTGATAGCTAAAGCAAATAAGGATGTGCAAATGGAAGGCACGCAAGCGCTGGCTGGTAATAAAACACGCAAGAAATGGACATTGAACCCAATCGACATGTAAAATAACATCAAATTTTGTCTGTGAAATAAAAAGATGACCAGAAGGCAGTAGTGGGAATATGCATTTTAACTTAAACAAATAAAAAGAAAATTGGCAAAAAAAAATGTAACCTTGCCAAAATCTTCAATTTGAATAGAGCATCTTTACTTTTGTTCCTTTTCCGATTTTTATCTTAAAACAGAGTGTGGGCAAAAACGGGAAAGCTTCTGTTTCTGCTTCATCTAAAAAAGATTTCAAATCCACATGCTTTCTATAACTCTTCTTCAAGAGGCAAAATTAGGCTGACAACAACCAGACAAATAAACTAAAAGTAAGCCACTCACTCTTTTTTCTGAGTCTTCCTGGTGGTGGAGTTAAGCATGCGCAGGACAGTCTGATACTGCTTCTCTGCTTCCTCAGCCTGAAGCCTCTGCTGTGCCTGTTCCTCCGCTGAGGGAAAGAGAGGAGAAGCCAATCAGACTGTTTAGAGGAAATAAAAGGTTTTCAAAAGGTTGGTAGCAGTAGCAGTTATGCAAACAAAGGCATAATAATATCTTCAGGCTGGTTTCAGTAGTCGTTTAGTTCTACCAAGACTGTTACTGAGAAGAACAAAGAATGATCAGTGACAGTTTAACACAAGAATTCATGTGTTAGGGGAAAAACATTTAAGGTCACAGTGACCTTTGATGCTGTGTTGTGTCTTATGTGTAGACAAATCGGTTCATCTGGTGGCCTAAACAACCAAATAGGAAGAAAAACAAAAACAAAAAAATCCTCTGAAAATGGTCAGGTACAAGAGCTGGACTGAAAATGAGTGAAAAACATTTGAAAGACCTTGAGAAAGCCTGAAAAACTATTGCTCAAAATCACTTTAAATATTAAAAGCAGGTCTGGCTCCTTGGAAGCAAAACATAATGAAATGAGGACTGGCTCAGGACCTGTACTGTACAATGCAATATAGTTAATACCAAAGCGCCGTAATGTGACTCCATTTTGGCTTTAAAATGAATCACAATATTTCATTTGTGAAGGTTTTAGAGTTTTTGAGTTTGAAACTCACTCTCACAGAAACCCCATTTCTTATCCTGGTCATAGTCGTACGTCGTGGCACACCATAGCCGTCCATCCCCCCGCCCATCAGTGGTACACTCTATGTACTCTGTCTCCTGGAAGAGGAAGGGGAATATGCAGGGTTCTCCATGGGCTGTACCTCCATTCACCACAGGAACTATATTTTAAAAAAAACAAAAAACACCCATATATAAAATTTACTTGATTGAAAACAAACAAACTCTGGCTGTTTTCCTTTAAAATACTGGTGGACCTGAGGTCTAAGTGAAAATATATTTTTTTCTTTATATTCTCAAATCTTTTGGTTTTTGCTGCACCATCAACTTTGGTGTGGAAAAATAACAAAGAGACAGAGGAGTTGAAACAATTACCATAGAGTTGCAACTTTACACACGCAATTACGTTAATCTGAATACATCTCCTTCACACAAGTTCAGTAATACAACTGTGCAATGAGCTAGCAGGGTAATTACAAACAATCCCCAAGTGAAATGATGTAACTGCACTGCAAGAGGAGCCACAGGTGCGAGAAGCTGTTTAGTGTCTCACGGGGGTTTAACCGTTTATCAAATGTGGCTCTACCCTGAAACCACACTCAGCTTAGCTCAGAGTCAGGCAAAGTGAAAACAGGTTAACATGTTAAACACTAAACAAAGCTTACAAAGGAAAAAAAATCATAAGAAAGAGCGTGTTTTCAATGCTGAGATCATGAGACGTGTGATAACACCACTACGAGGCACTACTACAAAAAGAAAGATTTATAGGTTCAGACTAGACATCGTTAAAATATATCACTAAGCTTTTCCTTCCATTTAGCATGCTAACATCTTAGGCTCTTTATTTTAGATACCAATCAGATACCAAATAGCTCAACAGCCCATTAAAGTAGCTACATTCAGCAGTCATGACCATTTTTGGGCCATCCTGAGGGCTCTTAACATGCAACCACTTTTAAACACTGATAACATTTTCTAATGTAAAAAGTGGGGATTAGAATATCAAAGCCATCACTGGTATAGCAGGAGATGCTAAAAACTAAATTTCTAATAATTAATACAGTAAAAACATCAGGAAGTTATTTAACAACTTTGACATCTCAAACGTTAATCAACTTATTGTGATTGTTTTTCACGCCTTTGTTGTGTGGAAGTTTTAAAATCTTACACCTTACCCTCTTTAGGTTTTTCCTCAACGGGAGGAGGCGGGTCAGGTAGGTCCTCCTTCTCCTCTCCTTCTAGACCCTCCGAAGGGGGCTGTGTTTCCTCTTCAGGATGGGAGTGATCAGTGGTCATAGAAGTACCTGCCATAATTTCTGGTGATAATCGAACATCTTCCTCTTCAGAGTCTGGGTCATGGTAGGACTGGAGAAATCAACAGGAGGTTATTACAAAGGATTACTTAAAGGAGGGAAATTACGCTGTATATAAAAACAATGCCTTTGCATGAGGCTCATTTGCAAAGTTAGCAGTGTGTTCAATTTCTTTTTAAGTTGAATGACTTCTTACTTTAACTTTTCTAGGCAACACGTATACAAAATCGTGTGTTACATACAACTCCCAAGAGACCAGCTTGCAAATGAGTCTATGATCAGCATTAACCATGCACCAAAGAGCCCATGACACACCTTTAACTCTGGTGCTTCGTCCTGGTGTTGCTCCTCATCTAAAAAGCATTAATGTTGCAGCAGTGAGAGATGTGTTGTTTTGATTCAGTCAAAGAAATGTAATAGACGAAAACAGGTGCTGTGACACTTTGAGACACGCGTATAGTGAGTGTTACAACACCACCGGCATTTCATACTCACCAGCTGTTACTCCTTTGCTGAACACTATGAAGAGAATACCCCAAAAATAAAGTCTCCTTGCTGTTTTCAAACACTTCTTATAGCCCATTGTTGTTATTTAACAAGCTAACAATCTGCTAGCTGTGACTATTGCTATTTCTATTACTAAACATCCAGTCGCAGTCTCGGGTCACACTACGAGAAGTAGCATAAGTAAACTCCCTGTCACACACTAGTCTGAGCCGTATTCCCTCTAGATGCCAGCTTGTTTAATTTTAGCTACTGTAGCTGTTTAACAAGCTAATAGATCCCAATGTGAAGCTAAGCTAGCAGAGTAGCACCTGCTGAAATGACGTAAACCTAACAAGCTAGTTTTACATAGCCGCAACAAAGGTTAGCAAGACAGCGTTAATAATATATGCCCGCTGTTCAACTGCTCGGCCCAAAAACTGGATGACGATTCCCTCTTGACACTTCAAAATATCCACGTTTAGGGACGAAAGCCAGTAGCTTTACCCTTTGATATACACCACCCAAATACTACTTAGCGTTGAGCCCACACTACTGATCGCCACTTCCTTTTCTTGTGATTCGACCAATCACATTGCGCCTAGATTGACAGTAGCCAATGAATAGGGGCCAAAGATATGTCAGCGAATCGGATGCGTACACAGTTATGTTTCCAGTTTAGGGGCTTGTCCACGACACCAAAACACTTTAAGGAGATAATAATAATCTGGGAGGTAGAGGGTGTTGTTTGGACATGCTATTAGTTAGGATAAAAATATGCATTTTGAAGTGCTGAAGGTGAATATGTGCAAACCTGAATGTAACTACAATAAAAAGGGAAAATCCGGACATTATGGCATTGAATGTTTTCAGCTCCCGGGTAATCCCATGTTTACTATTTAAACACATTATCCATCTTGAAGGGGAAAATAATAATAAAGAAACTGCTCTCGGGGAAAGAATAAGGGAGAAGAGGAAAATCAGGGACAGTTATCAATCAATCAATCAATCAATCAATCAATCAATCTACCATAGGCCATGCTATGTCAATAAATCTCTTTTTAACTCTCTAACTATAGTTATTCCTTATACTTCAGGCTCTACCTTGCTCGAGTATCTTGTGCAGAGTGTCAGTACTGATTCCTGTTACTTTTGCTACTCTGGGCAACTTTAAAAATTGTGGTTAAAGCAGTAACCACTGGTTTTACTAATCCATTACAGTCCATTTGCTTGGTCTATGCCATTAGATACCTAAAGCCATTTTCTGGCTTTTGTTTGTATTCAATAAGAAGTGCTTTCTGTGATATGATAATATCAAGTCTTTTATTAATGTATTACTTGTTTCTTCTTAGTTATATCAATGTTTTTTAATCCGATCAGTCCTGTGTTTGTGCTGCTCGTTATTCCATTTTAATAATTGTGCAAATTTTTTTCAGTGTCTTAAATCCCTCGCAAATTTAGCTTTCTTTTAACCTGCTTTTACATTTGCCATTATCTTTGATTATTTTCTTTAAATCACTTTGCAACTGCTGTTTTTGGAGCTTGCGTCATAAATACTGGTTAGTTACTTTAGTGGGTTTCTTTCTGTAAAGCACTGGCATTTGTGCTTTAATATTTCGTTCATAGTGTAGTGGTTTAAAACTCTTATCACATATCAACTGCCATTATGCAAGTTTCAAAAGAACATCCTTCCTCAATGTGACGCTGAAAAACTTGTTTATGCGTTCATTACATCTAGGCTGGATTGTAATTCATTACAAGAGTACTGACAAGGATTAGAAAGAGACAACGTATTTCTCCTACACGTCTCCTTAGAATATTTCTCCCACACTGACTTTTTTCTCTGGCTCCCTGGTAAAATCAAGAATTGAATTTAAAATTTGTCCCCTCACATACAAGGTCTTGAATAACCTGGCTCCATCTTATCTTAAAGACCTCATAGTTCCATATCACCCTCTGTGCTTTCAGACTGGTGGCTTACTTCTGGTTCTGTTTGAAAGTAGAATGGGAGGGAGAACCTTCAGCTTTCAGGCTCCTCTATTTTGGAACCAGACAGACACTATCTCTACTTTTAAGATTAGGCTTAAAACTTTTCTTTTTGATTAAGCATATAGTTAGGGCTGGATCAGGTGACCTTCCCTTAGTTAGATAAGGTAAACCTTTATTAGTCCCACATGTCCTGCAAAAGGTAGGCAGCTGGGAGCTTCCAATGATGCACTGTATTTTTTCTTCACTTACCTTTTTCACTCACGGTGTGTTTATACATCACTTTGCATTTGATAATTATTCTGTCTCTCTTCCACAGTGTCTTTTGTGCCGTCTCCCTCCCCTCACACCCAACTGGTCGCCGCAAATGAGCCTGGTTCTGCTGGAGGTCTCTTCCTGTAAAAGGAAGTTTTTCCTTCCCACAGTCAGCAAAGTGCTTGCTCACAGGAGAGTCTGATTGCTGAAAATTTCTCTCCATTATTTTACAAACTTTACAATATAAAGTGCCATGAGGTAACCGTTTTTGTGATTTGGCACTACATAAATAACACTGAACTAAATCGAGCACATTTACAAACAAAAGGTTTTTGGTTCAATTCCAGCTGGAGAAACAAATCCTCTTTGCAGGGCATCTGGGGTAAAAACTCTTCTAAATCAAACATGTGGAACTACCTGCTGTGGTGACCCCTTGTGACAAGGGAGACGTCAAAAGTAGCCTTTAACTTTCTGGTTGATCAATAAGTTTCATGAAGCTTACAGGCTCAGGTGAAGAATACAAGGCCTGGAATCTGTAGTGCTGGTACATAATAAAGGTGTCAGCAGCTTTAGAATATTAGTTTAAAATTCAAAAGCACTGTGTAAATTCTTATGGATATTATATTCTGCTACAAAGTGTGGTCTGTTTGCATCTGGTGCCCTGAATCTGACTCACAGAAAACCTGTACACTAATTCAATCTTTCTGTAAAAACTGCCAAGAGCTCTGACTCAAGCCCTTTACATCCAAGCTGTTGGACCTCATTATTTCTAACCTCACTGTTACTCTAAGTAGGTCAGTACAACGTGGTGGGAAACTAAATTCTCATTTGAAAATTGGAGAGATACAGGACTGCGACAGTTTTTCCAGTGTACAAGAACTTTTAAGTCATTCGGATACATGAGCACTCACACCAACAGATGTGGTAATTAATAACTGCATGTTTATTTACAGGCAGTTTTAGTGGTCATTTCAGAGGCAGTTACACAAAAACAGTTATCTGAAAAAAAATCACAGTAAACAACAATACAAGGCAGAAAAAAAACAAGATATTCAAAAAAATAAATAAATCAAAATCATTCAAAATAAACCCAAAATCATTTTTTTGAATACTCCCTAGCTATACATAAAAGAAGTGGCTCTATCGTGCAGACACAATCCTCCACAGGCTGCTGAAACTGTACTATATCTGATAAGACCTTTGTTGAAAACTGAGAGAAACACAAATAGATGCCAAAAAAACCCAACATAAAATGGGGATTTTTTTCTATTCCGGTCTAAATGCATGTTTTGCCAAAGTAGAATACATCAACTCATGTCCACACTGTGGATGGTACTGAGCCAAAAATGAATAAAACAACAAATGAACAGATATGTTTGGAGCCCAGCACGTGCAAATGTATCATCCAGTCAGCAGTCCATCCCTTTAAAGCAATACTTAAAGTGAACTTGACACACACAGTACTGCATGTGTATGACGTACACATGTGCTTGTTCACATTGTAGAGTAGGGTAAAACACTCACACATCCACTGTTTTTGATCAGTTTTCTTCTACGCTAAAAAATAAACCACTGCTTTACAGCACCTACCTTTCAGCTTCAGAGACCCAAACCTCCAAAGCATCCTTCCTGGTGAAATGCTCAGATTTAATGCTATTTAATAATGTGGCTGTACACATCATTTTTAGGACTTTTAATAGACATATAAACAGATAAAAAAAAAAAAATCATAATTAGCCCACAAAAATGGACCAGTATTTATTCATGACTGATTTATGATTTAATCAATATTATTTTTCTGCACCAAACTATTAATCTCTATAATCTCCTGTTAATAATAATAATAATTTTCCTTTTTTCCCCCATTGAGAAAAAAGTATGGGAATTTAAGTTGTGCAATAAACTAAAAAGGACACGTATTTCCACATAACATAAAATCTGCTTTGATGAGTTCTTCCATTAGAAAATGTGCATTTTGTGGCAAATTTGAGGATCAGTTAAAAGTATCTATATCTATGCTACATATGAAAACTCCAAGTGCATCCAGAACCACAGACAACAAGGCAGCGCCTCTTCTTTCAGGACACAGTGGTGGCAATTTAGAGAGGTCAAGCATGAAGCAGGGCCTGATGAACTCATCGCTGCATAGCTCTGATGACCCACTCTGCTGTAGGATTCACCTGGTAGAGGTCTTTCATATACGTTTCCCCATCTAGGCATCTTTCCTCTTTGAAGACGACAAGAAGAAGAGCAGACAGAGAGAAACATTAAACACATTGACAGCATGTACTGTCACAACTTAAAATGCATATTTGTGCCATAGAAGCTGTTTTATGAGCAAGGAAATTAATATTGTAGTGTATGTTTTTAGTTTACACATGTAGTTTTATGGGAGCAGAACTCACTGATGTTTCCGCCGATCTCATAGAGACACAAATCATCTGTTTTTACTGCCAACGAGCTGGAAGGATGAGAGAGATGAGAGACGTAGTCAGAGGACATGCGGGCATGTGAGAGCTTCTCTGTTTGTGTTGTTAATATACATGTTACCTGTCCTGGCTCAGGAAGCGTGTTAACACATCACAAGCCTGCAAGTCTTCGGTAAGTTGAAGTGCCATAGAAATTTTACTGAACTGTGGTGCGTGGACTCGGATAATCCCCTGTGAGGTCTCCTGCTTGTACACAGAGTCAGAGAAGAGAAACAGACTGTCAATTGCATTAGATGTAAACAGTTGAATAAAATAAAGTAATCTAAATCACTCTTCTAAATAACCCAGGTACTTACTTAAAACCTGGACTAATGACAGCTCAAGAATGTGCACTTAAAAAAAATTGTGGCTCCTCTGTTTAATAAACTACAGTCAAGGTTTAGGTTCACATCACTAAAGTTATTCATCCACTAAGAATCTGTCAAGAGGAACAGATTCGTTTTAACACAAGACTGCACAAAAGAAAGAACTGCCTAGAATCCCTTCAATTGCTGATTAACCAATCGCTCTTGTCAGACACCCGTGAGGAAAAGAGGCCGACAGCTAATCAGGAGGATTGTGTGAGCTGCACAACGGCTCCTGTATAAATGATTTAAAAATTCAGTCATCATGATCTTCATTGTACTTTTATACAGTAACACTAGATGTCACCATTTCTCAAACTGACTGAAAATACAGTAAAATCTGTAGCCATCATAGGCAGACTGACTTGTGTGCTTTTTTCTAAGTCTGTCATACATCGTCCTTATGCAAAGAAACCCTTTGTCTGCTTTGACACCTTTACCAGTAGTTTACAGGTGGTCTTCTGATAAACAAGATGTACACGGCCACTGGGTTAA